TGTTCGTAATCTCAGCTCGTTACCTGTAAAAAAGACACTTGGTAGACAGAAATCTTGCTGATTGATAGGGGATCAAATACTTATTTCACTCATTGACGTGCAAATCAATGTATAACTTTTTTGACATGCGTTACTCTGGATTTTTTTGTTATACTGTCTCTCACTGTTAAAATAGACCTACCATTAAAATTATAGACTGATCATTTCTTTGTCAGTGGGCAAACATTCAAAATCAGTAGGGGATCAAATACTTTTTTTCCCCTCACTGTAGCTAAAGAACTCCACTCACTGTAGAAGTAATGGAATGTACAGCTAAGCTGCCTAAATCAAGTGTCTAAATGCCAGATACCGCGATTGTCTTAACTGGGAGACAGCCTACTACCTCCTATTCAATTTCCACTCACAATCTCAAGAGAAAATCCCCAGATCACTCTCTTAAAGGCAAAAAAAGAAAAGTGGTATATAGTGCTTAAAGTGTTCAGTGAAAAGAAAATAATAAAGTTACTAAAGTCGCGTTTCCCTGATGAAGGTGCAATGTGTGCACCGAAATGCACTTTGCCTTGTTGACTGGTTGTTCGATAGTTCAGATTAGCAAACATGATGCTGGAAAATTCATTTGTATCATTGTATCAATGTCACATTTTTCCCATCATACTCTTGCTCCCACCTGGGCTTGATCAGAGCTGAATTTACATCTCAGGAGTACTTGTAGAATTTTAAGGTGGAACCCTACCTCCCCCACCAAACATTTTAGTGTTGCTTTCTCCATGATTTTGTAAAAATGGAATTACCAAAAAGAAAAGTGAAAAAGTATATAAAACTATATATACAAAGGGGGGGGGGGATCACATTTTTACTCATGCATATGGCCATTTCCACCTCTTTTTATGCAATACCTTTTCTGTCCTTTTTTGAGTTTATTTTTCCTTGAATGTAGCCATGGGCTTTATGAGAGCTGGATTATTTATGGGTTAATCTATCATTAAAAATGTATGTTGTAAAAAAAACAAACTTTAGAGAGATCTAGACACAGTTTTAGTTATATATTAATTGCCCTTTTAAATACACAGACGTTGATTGTCACTCACAAACTTCAAAGTAGGCCTTACCAACTCCCGGGGATGTCCTCCGTTGTTGAATTCCAGAAAATTCTTACCTTTGTAGAGTTTCCATCTGCAGGTAAATGAACCTTTAATTGGGCTGACCTGATTGGCTACATTCTTTGAATGCCTTTTTATATATTGTGTAAAGGCTACCCTGAGAGGAACTAAGGAAACATTCTGAATAAAGAACTAACAGGAAAAAGCAAGAAACACTTAATGTGGTGCAATGTTTGATATTAGCCCCTTAAGGATGGAGGAAATTGTCCAAAACCTAGAATTTGAACTATATGATTGTTCAACCATAATTTACCTATTTCATATTAAAGGACCACTATAGTGCCAGGAAAACATACTCGTTTTCCTGGAACTATAGTGCCCTGAGAGTGCCCCCACTCTCAGGGACCCCCTCCTGCCGGTCTCTGGGGAGAGGAAGGGGTTAAAACTTACCTTTTCTCCAGCGCCGGGCGGGGAGCTCTCCGCCTCCGATCCTCCTCCTCTCCTCCCTTTCGGCTGAATGCGCACACGCGGCAAGAGCTGCGCGCGCATTCAGCCGGTCTCATAGGAAAGCATTTACAATGCTTTCCTATGGACGCTTGCGTGTTCTCACTGTGAGAAACCCATGTACAGGTTTTATGGTATTTTGGAAAGTTACAGAGTCAACTATATGACTTGCTCATTTTAGGTTTTACATATTGAAATTTGCCAGATTGGTTACGTAGCCTTTGAGATTGTATGAAGGAAAATTACCCCCATCATTGCACAGAGTTTGCAAAAGTAGAAAACCCCAGCTATTCAAAATGTGGTATATCCAATCTTTTTATTAACCACTTGATGACAATTTTATTTTTGTATTTTTTAGGAAAGCTGAAACACCATTTGTATGTTTTGTTGTATGCTGGATAAGGAAAAGGCTATTCTGGAGGAGCCTTTAAGGGTTGCTGCCACCATCAATATAGCCATTCTTAGCAAGCTAAGAATATATTGTCACACAGCTTCTCAGTATTTTTGGTTATTGTGTTACATTTCCCTGGCCTAGCCTACTGTGATACCCCAGCTCACATTGGTTTATTTATGAGAAAGGTACCTGGGAGAGTGTGGAACAGTTAGTTTACTGAATATGTTATAGTTATGGTTAATGTTTAATTGTGTCCAGTTGACATTTAATACAGGTAATACTGTATTGACTATCTTATTGCCTATCTTTTATTGTGTGTGTTGTATATATGTCTCAATTTTACATGTTTCCCAAGAAATACCATCACTGAATGTAGGCACAATACACTAGTTAAGATATCCCATTAACCCTCCCTACCTTAGCTCACATCTCTCATGTGAAGTTGTAGCATTGAAAGTGACTATCTGTGCTAACTTAATTGATTATAGGTAAAGAATGGACATGGACTCCACAAGACCTCTGAACATGTTCTGCGGTATCCGGCACCAAGAGATTAGCAGAAGATACTTTAAGTCCTGCAAGTTGCGAGGTGGGGCCTCCATGAATCGGATTTGTTGTTCCTGCACATCCCACAGATGCTTAATCGGAATGAGATCTGGGGAGTTTGGAGGCTAACGCGACACTTTGAACTCTTTATTATGATCCTCAAACTATTCCTGAACAATGTTTGCAGTGTGGCTGGGAGCATTATCCTGCTGAAAGAGTCCACTGTCATCATTGATCACCATTGCCATGAAGTGGTGTACGTGGTCTGTAACAATCTCTAGATCGGTGGTTTATATCAAAGTAACATCAATATGAATGCAGGATCCAATGTTTCCCAGCAGAACATTGCCCAGAGCATAAAACTGCTTCTGCTGGGCTGCCTTCTTCCTATAGTGCATCCTGCTGCCATCTCTTCCCCCAGGTAAACAACGGACTTACACCTGGTCATTCACTTGCTCTAAAAGAAAAACCATGATTCATCAGATCAGACAACTTTCTTTCATTGCTCTATGGTACAATTCTGGCGCTCAAGTCCCCATTGAAGATGCTTTCGGTGGTTGACAGGGGTCATCATGGACACTCTGACTGGTCTGTAGCTACAATTCCCTATGTCCAGCAAGCTACTATGCACTGTGTGTCCTGACACTTTTCTATCATTGCAAGCATTATGGTTTTGTTTTGTTTTTAGCAATTTGAGCTTCAGTAGCTTGTGTGTGATTAGACCAGATGGGATAGCCTTCATTCCCCACATGCATCAATGAGCCTTGGGCACCCATGACCTTGACGCCAGTTCACCAATTTTTCTTCCTTGCACCACTTTTGGTAGGTACTAACCACTGCATACTGGGAACACCCCACAAGACATGCTATTTTTGAGATGTTCTGATCCGAGTCCCCTGGCCATCACTATTTGGCTCTTGTCAAAATCACTCGGATCTTATCATTTCCAACACATGAAATTTAAGAACTGTTCACTCGCTGCATACTATATCCCACCCCTTGAGGGTACCATTGTAACAATATAATTAATGTAATTCACTTCACCAGTCAGTGTTTTTAATGTTGTGGCTGATCAGTGCATATATAGACAAAACATAAAAGATCACCAAGACATATTTACATGACAGGTGCACTTATCACTATTACTTTTAAGAGTACATTTTTACTTGGCTTCATACCAAATTGTAACACCACAAAACAAACACATATAGTTATGCAGGTATTCAAAAACTCAGATAACCTCTGTAATTTTCCACATGCTAAGTCAATATATTGCAGCAGTTCTTTGTATTAAACATATAACATGTTCAAATGGGGAGTTGGGGGGGGGTGGGGGGGAGCAGAGGTTAAAAAAGTTTATGGGAAGGAATATATGTAGATTACAACACCTATACGCGGCAGACACAATCATCGCCTACAACGATTTACCAGACAAAGACACACTCACCACATTTGATCACTTCAGATACCTGCAACTCAGAAGCTTTGCTGCCACACACGTCATCAAACAGGCAGGCACAGCCCCCCTAACACGATTTGAAAGAGATAGTATAGACCATCCAGTGAGAAGGGACTAAATCTCAGACCTCTATGCCACTATAGCAACACACCCAACCCAGGTGAAGCTCTCCTACATCAGGGCATGGGAAAAGGATTTAGGCACACTGGAAGACCCCACAGAGTGGTCAGATATATGGGAAGCCATAGCCACCACCTCAATATGTATCACCCACAAGGAACAAGCATATAAAATGCTGTTCCGGTGGTACTTGACACCACAAAGACTAGCCACCATGAGAGCGACTCACCCCAACCTTTGTTGGAAAGGTTGGGGAGAAATAGGCACCTTCCTCCACTGCTGGTGGTCCTGCCCTAAACTGAAACCGCTATGGCAAAGCATCACAACCCTGATCACTAGACTATTCGACAGACCATGCCCCATTGACCCCTGGCTACTATTACTATCCAAACCCAGTGACACCTACACAAGAAGGGAAAACAAACTAATAGCAAGAATAACACTCGCAGTTCGCAGAGCGATCGCTGAACAGTGGGCAACACCACACATTCCTTCGCAAACCTCCATCACACACAAGATACAGGATAGCGCAAACATTGACAGCCTCACAGCCCAAATACACGAAACAACCACACAATACCACAAGCTCTGGGACCCATGGCTAAACAGAGACACTTCACTACCCTGGTAAAAACATCCACTAAGAAATACGCCACCTAATACCTCATAAAACCGCTCCTACAGAGACATACCCATGCTATGGTACACCCGCAGCATCCACAGTAAACCAAATCAAGGCCTGCAACCCCGGGCTGGGGTGGGTACGGGGGGACCGGCCGATGCACCCCTACCTCACCCGGCTCCAGACACACCCTGGCTTTTCATGCCACTGTCCTACCTCCCCCTTCCCCCACTAATGGACACAACACAGGGAGACAACGAATATCATGACAAACTCTTACCTATACAACAACTTCCAACAGTCGCGTACAGTAGCAGACACAGACAGAGGAGCCAAAAGGACACTCTGAACATCTTTAGAGTCGAGGAAACCCCACCAAAGCTCAGGGATCAAACCAAGCCACCAACAAAAAGACTAAAAGACAGAAACCGCAGGGTCCACAGATAGACCAGCACCAGTGAAAACCACTAGCCAGAAATAGACGCACTACCTACAGACAACCCTGAATCCTGGCCCGAGGGGCCGAGGTACCAAAGACTAAGACAAGACAAGCTTAACCATTCACTAGACTGACAGGACGTTCCGGTCCTCAAGGCACGCCATAGCAGCACCTTGATGACTAACCTGCCCTTACCTACCCAAACAACGAACTGTCAAACATGAAATCTTAAAAACTGAATAAGCTTGCAATGTATATTTGACAAAGAAACGTTGTACCCCCCTACCCTCTCTTAATTCTGTACCCTAAAACCAAATGCAAAAGAAAAATGACAAAAATAAAGAATTAAAAAAAAAAAAAAGTTTATGGGACACTTTAGGCATTATCACCACTTATATATGTTTTATTTCTAATTTATTCATTTAGTTCAACTCATTTATTTTGTCTCTACAATGTAAAACAATTCCACTCTGCAGAAACAACAATGTTGCAGGATTTAAATGCTTCTAGTGGCTGTCATACTGACAGCCACAAGAGGTGCTTAACCCCTTAAGGACCAAACTTCTGGAATAAAAGGGAATCATGACATGTCACACATGTCGTGTGTCCTTACATAAACTCGGCTATTTCAATTGGATTGTCTTAGAGACCATCTGATTGGCACAGCACTGTGTTTTTCCACTGATGCGCACTAGCCTTTTAATTATGCGCACTAGCCTCCCAATGAGAAGGCCCATTGGGGAATCTTTAGCAGCGTGAGTGGGCCACTATAGTATTTGTAATGCTGGGAGGTAGTTAGAGCCTTTCACTTCCTACAGAGGGATCCGTGCAGGAGGGAGGAGGCACAGGCAGCATGGGAGGAGAGAGCAAGAAGAGCTGCTCCAGCCAAACACTCCTATCAGACTCAGCCAGCAGCATGACCCCATGGAAGCAGTGGTGTATCTTGGATTTGTGCTGTACTAGGCACAACTAAATTCAGGCACCCCTCAAACTAAATTTGCCCCACCCCTTTGTGTCAAGGCCACTTTTTTGACTGACAGACACACACACAGTGTACCTTCACCAAACAAGTAAGGAATTGGATTTACATTTATTGTGCCACCTGCTAGCACATGTCCTTTACCTGACATTAAGCTTACATAAGCCTAGCCTTTTTACTGCCTGCACTGCCACTGTTTACACAGGGGTGGACCCTGTAGTACTCTCCGGGTGAGCCAGGGCTTTAACGGTACCATAACCCTTACTGGGAACCCTCTCTGACACGCTGTTGCGGATCTGTCCCGCTTGCTTGGTACCTCCCCACTGAAATCACACAGGGTAAGCCCTGCAGTTCTGGGGGCTAATTCAGCCCTAATTCAGGGCTACGCTCCCTGACACACTAGCTGCTCTCCACGACCGGCACCGATAATCCCCCCCCCCATAATTCCACTTATACCAGTGTGGGAACATTAGTGGTTGGCGCACCGCCTAGTCGGCATACCCCGATTGTACTCACAGGGAAAGCCCAGCAGGACGACCTACCTGCAGGGTTGCTAATTTATGTCCTATCCTCCACAGGAACCAACCGATAAGAGGATGAGCGACACGCCACCACCAACCCAGAACTTCCAGTCCAAGATTAACGCTGCAGTGGCAGTGTCGGTGGAGAAAGCCCAATCAAAAATGCTCACCCAACCTCCTCCAGAGGTATCCATTCTTAACGTGGGTATGTCCCCGCCACAGGATGAGGAAACAGGGGGCTCAGAGAGGCCCTCCAGGGAACCATCTCTCTTACCGAAACGCCACAGAACGGGCGCATTGACCTCGGTCAGGTCAAAAGGACAGGAAACGGTCAAATGCACCAAACGGACGGTGAGACCTGAATCTCAACCCCCGATGCTCTCTTCCGGGGAAGAAGATGAATATCCGAATACACTGGATATATTTGACGAATAGCAAGTGGACGATTATGCATCGGAAGGGGACGAGTGGCAGGACCTACCCCCACACGACTCCACATATGTGAAGGAGTCTTATGCAGGCGAACCCTCACAATGGGGGAATTTACATGACCTCTCCTCACGAGAGATGGATGGCCTGAACACCCACAGCTGTCCTTTGTTCGACCCTCGGACCATTAGGCACCCAAAGTCATCGGAATGGGGCCTCCCAAGTCACCTGGCACAACTCCTCCATATGCAAGCCCTGCGCACTGCGCAGACTCCTCTATGGGGGTCCCATGGCTACACGAAGAATCGGAGACACACATCAACTTCTTGGAACTGATATCGGGCTCCTTTGCCATCCGGAGCTTGGCCAAGCACATGTTTAATTGTTGTATTCTAGTGCCCATGGACAACGTGTCATCGGTACAGTATATCAATCGCCTGGGATCCAGGACACTCTCGGAGACGACCAAAGACATTTTACCTTTTGCCTCTCCAGAAACATTACAGTCAGAGCAGAATACCTGCCAAGGACATCGTATCTCACGGCGGACTGGTACTCCCGCCACTGGAAGGATCTTGGGACATTGATAGATTATCACAGATGACTAAGGATCTACTATGGGACTTGTGGGTCCCAGGCACTCTACGGTGTTACCTGGCAGCCTGGAACAGATGGGCTTGCTGGTGTCTGGAGAGGGACTTGGATCCCTATTCAGCCCCTGTTCCTGTCATTTTGAACTTCCTATCCTCCATGTTTTCGGCGGCCCAATCTTATCATTCGGTTAACGTTACACGATCAGCGATATCGGCAGCCCACGTTCCTGTCTTCGGGCGCCCGGTGGGTCATCTATCGCCTATCTCGCCCACCGGGTCCGAAGTATTCACGTTTTTGGGACGTCGAGTTGGTTTTGGGAGTTTATTCGGAACTGGCCAGGTAACAATTCGCTATCTCAACGCCAACTGTCGGCTAAGCTCACTTTACTACTATGTCTGATCTCGTTACGTTGGATATCGGATGTCAGAGCGTTTGACGTGGATGGTCTTTCCTTCTCACCTGAAGGTGTCTCTTTTTCGGTTTCGCAACGGACAAAAACAAATTTGTCTTCGTTTTTTACCCGTTTTTTCCCTCCGCTCCACGACTCTGCATGGTCAAAACTCTCCTTCGTTATGTGAAAGTCACTACGACTCTCCGTGGTGCGCCCTTGGGTCAATTACTCATGTCTTATGTGCAACCGCATGGACCAGTCTCATCCACGACCCTTGCTCGATGGGTCAGATGGCTGCTATCCCTGGCAGACATCGAACTGTCGTTTGGGGCGCATTCCGTATGCGACGCGGCAGCTACACAAGCCTTTTCGTCGGGTGCCTCCCTAGCGGATATCATGCGTTCTGCGGACTGGTCTCGCAAAGTCACCTTTTGGATTTTCCACTTCTGCCCTGTTTCTCATTCATCTTTTGCTCTTCTTCCATAGCATTAAAAATGCAAATATGAAGCCTCCTGTCATGTGGTAAAATTGTAGATTATGCTAACGGAGTGTACCAATGATCTTATTTTTAGTAATGACAGGAGGCAAATATTTCCCTCCCTTTTGTCTTTACCCTCCCTAGATGGTTTTTTTTTCTCTGCTCTTCTATTTGTTTACTTGTCTACTCTATGTTTCTATCTCTTCTCGTGTACTGCTACTGCTTATGCTGCATATCTTCCTGGTTATGTCTATTAGATTACAATTTATGTTTACTCAGACCGAATCACAGTATGTTATGCTCACTATAGTATGCATGAAATATGGTCATTTCGTTACCTTTCACTTCTTTCTGTTCCTTTCAGTATGAAAGCTGGCTATCTTCCACAGACTATTTGTCGTTTACACCTTTCATGGAAGTTTGTTGGATCCTCTTCGTTATTGGAGTTATTCTTGTTGGATTTGTTAATTCTACTAGTTTCGCTTCAAAGAAAGAGGAAGAGTACCGCTGTATTCAAGTGTAAACATTACATAGAAGTACACCACTACATTCTAATGGCAATGGCAAAGGCAGGGCTCGAGTCCTGCAGAAAAGCGTGGGAACGGCGTTCTTGCACTTTTTCCACAGCAGGAATGCTGTTTCCGTTAGTAGTCCTACAGGACAGAGGCTCTTTAAATTAGATGATTTAGGCGGCTGCCTAAGGCCTCGCGCTGATTGGGGCCTAGCAGCCACCTAAATTGCCTTAGGGCAGTGTGACATGTCGGGTCCTCGGTCAGCGACCGAGGGCCCGACACAGGAGGGGGCCTCGTGGCTTGCCCTTTATGCCGCGGGGTGCGAGGCCCCTCCACACCGCCCACCCTGGGGAGAGCCAGCCTCCTGTCTACGGGTCCGCCCAGTGCAGAGCTGCAGACTGAGGTGTCTTGCAATCTCTGACTGGAGATCATGAGACTTACCACGTGGCCTGTAGCTCTGCACTCGGTGTAAAACCAGCCCATCAGACCACCAGGGAGAGAGGGTGCCCACCGGACCACCGGACATCCACAGGACCACCAGGTAAAGCTTCCCACCAGACCACAAGGGAATAATTAGCCACCATAAGCCCTCCTACCCACTTACAGACCCCCTATCCACCTTACAACCCCCTACCACTCACAGCCCCCGTACCCACAATAAGCCCTCCTACCCAATTACAGACCCCCTACCCACCTTACAACTCCCTACCCACCATACAGGCCCCCACCCACCTCACTGCCGCCCTACCCACCTCACAGTCCTCCTACCCACCATACAGCCACCTTACCCACCTCACAGAACCCCTACGTACATCACAGCCCCCATACCCACCTCACAGTCCCCCTACTTACAATATAGCCCCCATACCCACCTTACAAAAGCCCTACCCACCTCACAACCCTCCTACCCACCTCACATTCCACCTACCCACCATACAACCCCCCCTACCCACTTATAGTCACCCTACTCACCTTACATCCCCCTACCCGCTCAGTCCCCATACCCACCTAACAGAACCCCTACCAACCTCACAGTCCACTACCTACCATACAGCCCCCATACCCACCTCACAGTCCCCCTACCCACTTTACAACCCCCTTGCCCACTCCCAGTCCCTCTACCCACCTTACAGCCCCTTACCCACTTACAGACCCCCTATCCTCTCACAGCCCATCTACCTTCTCACAGCCCCCCTACCCTCTCACAGCCTTCCTACCCACACCTTGTCACAGCCATCCCCACCCTGTCTCCCCACACACTGTCACAGCCACTCCCACACACTCTGTCACAGCCCCCCCACACACCCTGTCACAGCCCCCTCACACACCCTGTCACCTCTCCACACACACACACCCTGTCACTCCCCCCATACACGCAACCTGTCACTCCTACACCCAGTTATATATATGCATCCAAGGGTATAATTGTTTTTTGGGGGGGAGGTGGATCTTGGGTGAGTTCCCACACTTTTTTTCCCAGGATTTGACCCCTGGGCAAAGGTACATACAAATTTACCCCTACATGCAAACACACATACTCCTTGCAAAAACATTATTACGTTCAAACGCACAAACACTGCTCACAAATACAACCCTTCAAGGATGGACAAATGGTAGATCCCCAGCTGTTATAGCATTGTGAGAGTTGTACAACAGATGGGGATCTATCTTTTGGCCCCCCTTGCACTAGACGGGGGGCCCAAAAATATTTCTTGCACCAGGGCCCTCTTGTTCTGCCATTGATCCCAGTGCTTTCCTATGGCAAAGCATTGGATTGGTCGAGATCATCAAGATTATTATATACAGTGTTCAATTCACTACAATTTAGTGTCTAGGGAATAAACCCCATCTGGTTAGCAACGGTTCTGTGAGTTGTTGATCAACTAACAGTTTTCATGAGTAAAAAGCTGAAAGTTAAACCATGACTTTCCCAAACTTTTGCCCTGCAGCCAGCACTTTGAAAGGTCATACAGAAAAATTTTGGAGGCTTTTGATTGGCTGATCACTTCCTTGGCTGGGCAGTGCTGATATCCAGTATATATGACATATTTATTGCAGATGCAGTAACTTAATTTTATCTTGCGTTGTTTTCGATTTACGTTTTTTGCATTGTTATAATCATTATCTCTGTATTGTATTAAAATTGGTCAAATTTTGCCTGGTATGCTCCTTTTATAAAAATAGAAATTAAATAATAATGTAGATAATTTACATTACAGACAGAGACAGGAAAAATATCCCCATCCAAACAATTAAAGAGGCTCTATCAACCCTGCCTCCCCGCTTCCCTCCCTCATCAGAGAGTACAGCGCTAACATTGGCTCCTGGACAGAAAAGCATGGTGGCACCTGTGAGGGACAGATTCAGGTAAGTATATCTCACCTTAACCTGTACCCCTGGGTCTCCAGACACCCAGAAGTGATGTCGACGTCCAGGATCTTACCAAATTATGCAAAGACCCTAAACGGTGACGGAGCCGCTTTAAGTATACGGTATTACCTAAAAATAAAAAGTACAAGAAAGGGTTTAGGTATAGTGTGTTTAAAGCAAAATTGCAGGAAAATCCATTATATTAATTAAAGGAATAAATCATTGTAGTGAATTGAAAACCAAATTTCAAATGTCAAAATAAAACAGCTGAATATATTTTCCTATTTTAAAACTTGTTTTTAAATTTACCATATGTGTGTGTGTTTAGTAAATAATCCTCTGTATGCTAACCTCTTACTGAACCAAAATGAGGGCTTACTCCAGAAAGTGCCAAACGCTATTAAGAATTAATGAAAAGTGGAATGTTCGTAAAAGGGTCTTCCTGTCTTTATAGCTACAATTTATTCCTTTCCGAGGTATGCGGAAAGTGTAAATAAATAAAAAAGATTCTGATTAGGAGAGCGAGAGGGGAAAGGCTTTTTCCTTAGGCTACATAACATATTGAGCTATATGAATAAAGCTGTCACTACAAGGATGCCATTATGATTTTTTAATTAGATGATAAAAGGGCAGACCGATTTGCCTTATGTGCCTGGCAGCAGAATGCAGTTTGGCATTTTGCCAGAGACAGCATCACTGAGGTCAGCAATAAAGCTTGAGTTCACAAATTTAACCTATTCAAGGCTCCATGCTATTAGAAGTGATAAAACCTTCAGTATTTCAGAGACAGCCTCCATTAAGCAGGAAAGCCCCTCTATCAACACAATTTGTTTTATATCATATTGCGCATGTAAAATTGTAACATTAATTGAGAAAAAAAATCAGATACAATTTGTTTGTTTTTTTAAGTGTCATGGCAACCAAAATGCATAGCCCTGCAGCGGCTTGCTGTAAGAGGCTTCTGAATTCCAAAATTAATTAAATTAAACCCCCCCATCAAACTATACGATAGGGGCAGCTGCCTCCTTACTCTATAATTAACTCCTCATCTGCTCCGGAGTTTTCATATGAAATAAATATTTAGAGCTGTTTTCCAAAGACTCATAAAATGCTCATAAAATGCTTTTAATAAATCTTTTAGTGTGTGGTCTCCAGTCACAAGGTGGCAAGTGTTATCA